AAACTAGATCGACTGTGACCCTACAAAAATCTTGCCACGCTGGTGGCCACAGTTTCAAATAAAATACAAATTTGGGTCTTGTCAATACCTATCGATTGACCTAAATAAAGTGTGTTATACCCACTGTAATGCCCATAAATGCCCATAACGCTTAAATCCGCATGCCGACCAAATTAACCTTTGGGCAAAAATTAATTAAAATTAATTTTTTTTTTAAATGAAAAATCTTTTTTTTTTCTTCTAAATCAATCTTTTTTCCTTCAAAGTTATCCAATCCGAAAAAAAAACACCAATGTATTATTTCCCCAATGGCCAGAAGTCACACGGAGCCAAATCAGGAGAATACGGTGGTTGCGGAACGAAATACGTTGATTTTTTGTCACGCAAACGACGCATAACGCTCAAATAATATTCCTTGTTGACAGTTTGACCGAGAATAAAGAATTCATAGTGCACCACACCACGAAAATCGAAAAAAAATTCGGCATGATCTTGATTTTTAGACTACTTTTTTTTTTTAATGCTTTGCTATTTATTTCATCTTCTCACTTTGAATACCAACAATAAGTGTATCAAATCTTAAACTAATTAATCTAACTAACAGTCATATGACTGATATTATGCTAAAGGGGGACCTAAAGTTATTGCTGGCTTGGCAGGTCGTTGCGTTGTAGACGTGATCGGCTGGAAACCCAAGTCAAGCCTCTTGCGAGCCGATTGGGGTGAACAGAGAGTTTTTCATTGTAGGACGCTTTTAGTTTATCTATTTCATCTTTTAAGGTAAGGATGCCTAGGTCCCTGTGGATATTTTGGTTGCCCCAGTGATAGTTCGCAGGATTTTCGATTGAACGCGCTGTATAATGTCTATGTTGCTGCTGCTGGCGTTACCCCATAGCTGGGAGCCATATGCCCAGATGGGCTTTTGAGTGGAGTTGTAAAGCAAAGCCTTTGAGCCCAGACGCAGGGGCGAACGAGCGTTTAGATGTACTTTCTTGCGTTCGATGTGTCTTCTCCAGGTTAGTCGTCTGTCAAGGTGGACGCCGAGATACGTTACATCGTTGACTTGGGGAATCTGCGAATTATTCAATGATAGGGGGGGGCACGTTTACCTGTTGAGAGTAAAGGTTATGTGTTTACATTTTTGTTCATTTGTTTTAAGCCGCCAATCAGATAACCACCTCCCTACTACGGAGAGGTGGGTTGCTAGCAGTGATGTGGCTTCGCCTTGGCACCTCGAGCGACTTAAAATTGCGGTGTCGTTAGCGAACGTAGCTGTTGTTAGCTGCTCGTTCGTGGGAATATCTGGTGTGTATAGGAGGAAAAGAGTAGGCCCTCGCGCGCTTCCTTGCAGGACTCCAGCTTTGATAATGTAGTGGTCGGTTGTTGTTGTATTGCACCTTACTGCGAAGACTCTGTTGTATAGATACGACTCAAGAAGCTTGTGAGTGTAAGCAGGCAAATGTGTTTTGATTTTGAGCATGAGGCCATCTAGCCATACTCGATCGAAGGCTTGAGATACATCGAGGAATATTGCGCTCCAGTATTTCCGATGCTCAAATGCTGTGCGTATTTCTGATGTTATTCTGTTTACTTGTTCGATTGTTCCATGGTTTTGACGAAAGCCAAATTGATGAGCAGGGATAACATTGTGTGCTCCTAGATATGGTATTATGCGAGATAGAAGGCATTTTTCGAACAACTTAGACATACACGATAATAAACTAATTGGTCTGTACGATGCCGGAATTGGTCTTTTCTGGGCTTTGGTATCATAATGATAATAGATTTTTTCCAGTTTTTCGGATAGTAGCCGAGAGTTATGATCCCACTGAAGAGCTTACAAATAACCTCAATAGCAGAGTTTGGAAGTTCAATTGTCATTTTTGGGGTTATTTGGTCACCGCCAGGGGCCTTTTTCGGTTTCAGTTCCTCAATGACTTTCGCGATCTCCTTTGACTGAAACAATGGTGGTAGGGAAATAGATTCTGATTCGATTTGTGGTAGGACAAATTAACCAGTGGCAGGGTTCGGCCGGAAGACGTTTCTGAGATGTAAAACAAAAGTTTCGGCTCTGTCTTCGTCGCTGCGGACCCAGCTGCCAGATGAATTTCTTATCGGAGTGACTGTTTCGATTGGTGAGCTCAGATTGGGGTGAGCCCTCCACAGAGGATGTTTTGTACTGGTTGGCGAAAGTTTTTTAATGTACCGCAGCTGTGCATTTTCTGTTTCTTGCTTAAGAGCTCGATTTAGTGTGCGAGTGGCTTCCTTAAGACGTTGTTTTGATGACGGCGATCTGCTTTGCCAGGCACGTCGCAGGCGCCTCTTTTCTAGGACTAGCCGTTCAATTTGCAGATTTGTTTTGAAGTAGTTGGTTTGCACGTCCCTGCCTTGTGGTGTTGAGATAGTGGCTGCCTCCACGAATACTTCTTCAAGAGCATCGGTAGAGCAGTCGATGTCCGCTTCGATGTTGAAGTGAGGGGTTCATTGGATGTGTGAGCTTACATAATTTTTATATTTTAACCAGTTGGTTCTGCGCGTCGTCAGCCTGAGGGGGTCATCTGTAGCTTTTGTGCTTTGGAGAAGAGTTATTAGCACTGGCGAACGGTCTGACGACAGGTCCGAAAGCGCTTTGGCGCTTATTATATTGCGGGGAATGTTTTTTGTCACCGCAAAGTCTATTAGGTCTGGAACTTTCCTGGGGTCTGTTGGCCAGTATGTGGGGCTGCCAGGGGAAGCATAGTCTAATTTGTTGTTCGGTTTTACGATTGCATTGCATAATTGCCTTTTTTTGGGAGTCACAAGACGTGATCCCCAGAACGTGTGTTTGGCATTATAGTCCCCTGCAGCTATAAAGCGATCTCCAAGCAAGTTGTAGAAGTTGTCCATCAGAAATAGTAAAACGGGGCGGACAGTAGACAGCGGCTATGGTGAGGTTTCCGTTGCCTGACTGCACTTTGATAGACGTAGCTTGTAAGTAATTACTTGCAAATCTTTGATGGAAGTGGTGCTTGATGCGTTCGCTGATTAGAATGCCGGTTCCGCCGTGGGCCTTACCATCTAGATGGTCTGTGCGGTAGAAAGTGTAGCCTCTTATTTGGAAGTTGTATTTGTTTGTGAGGTGTGTCTCTACCAGTAGCATAATGTCGATATGAATATCATTCAGGAACTGTGTTACTTCAAGGTTGTGCCGTGAAACGCCATTGGCGTTCCACATTGTAATTCGTAGATTTGCCATCTGTTATTTAGACTGCTTACCTGCAAGTAGCTGTAACACCATGTTCTGGTTTTGAACCAGTGTTTGCATGGTCGCTTTCATGAATGACATGAATTCCATCATACTTTGCTGCATCATAGATTCCAGAGTGCTTTGTGATTGTACTTTGATCTGCTGAGCGTTTCCTAGATTAGACTGGAGTGGGTTTTCATGGTTTTATGAATATCCCTTTTTGTGACGGGAACAACATGAAAGTTTCCGTCCCCGGTCAGCGCAACAATTTTGTTGACCAGGGCGTTCGAGATTTTTTTCCTAATGTAAATTGGTGGGGGCTTGGGTTTCGGTTGAGTCTCCTGAGCCTGTTCTGGTTAATTTTCATCTAGAAGCGCAAATCTATTGCTGTTGGATCTCACGGGTAATTTATTTTTTATTTGGACACGGTTTATTTTTGACTTGTTACCTACCACGGTATTCTGCTGGCTAAGCTTACGCTTGATATCGATGTATTGATCTAGTCCGGTCTGTATGGCCGGACCCGCTTGCTGAATGTTGTTTTGGTTTTGATTTGTTGTCGCGGTTTTTGTTGCCGTTATATTTCGGGCTGCGGCTGCCGTTGATTCCGAAGTAATAGCCGTAGATGTGGTTGTTGTTGTTTTTTTGCCGTAGCTGTAGTTGTTGCTGACACCGTTGCATGTTTTTGGTGCGCCAGGGGTCGAAACTGATGGTGGGGGGTTTTGCATTGTTGACTCCACGCCGTCGGAGTGGGGGTAGCCGTAATAAAGCATGGTAAGCAAGATCGTGCACTTGAGTTTGTCCTGATAGTCAGAAAGCATTGTTTCACACACGTCAACGCGACGATTTTTATACCCCTTACTCGTAGAGTAAAAGGGTATACTAGATTCGTCAGAAAGTAAGGAACAGGTACAGGGTTGCGTTTTTGACCCTGATGTATATATATTCTTCATTAGGATCACTACCCGATTCGATATACCCATGTCCGTCCGTCTGTCATCAATCATATATCAATACCCAAAATTATTGAAATCGGAACATTCATTAAAAAGTTATAGCCAAGTAATAGTCAATACTTTGCAAATTTAATCGAGATTGCACACCACATGAGGCAAATCATCTACTTTCACTAACACGCCATACAGCCGCTAGGGGCGCTATGGGCTCGTTGGTGTTATGAGCTAGGTTGCGCTAGATCTTGCACTCTCTTTAGCTGAGTATCGGATATTTGACAGTCGATGGCATCGACTATAGCGTTCTCTCTTGTTTTGCATGAAATGTAGCGCTTTTAGTCGAAAAATATACTCTTTGTCATTTGGTAAAGACATTCGGCAAAATATTTCTGACATGACATTTGGCACAGATATTATTAACAGTCCTGCCTTCTTTGGTAAACATAAGCGTATATATATTATTGACATGATATTTGACATGATATTTGACATGATATTAACAGTCCTGCCAACTTATGAAAACAAAACTAGCCCGAAATGTTAGGCCCGCGAAGTATAAATTGAAAATGCACCTTACTTTTTGCCCAAGGAATATATTGAAACCGCGTGGCGCTTCACCATCTTGGTTTGCTGCTTGAATATCTCCATCTGCTTTTCGCTCTCCTCGGGGCACTCGACTATAGCGTTCTTCCTTGCTCTTCATTGTAGATGAACTTACATATAATTAACAAAAATATATCCCGAAATAGGAACAATATTTAAAGAAATAAATATATATTTTCATGAAATGTCATAATATTTTAAAATCATTCTCAAAATTTCCCGTTTCTGAACATGTCAAAGATTTAATGTTTTTTTTTATTAGTTACTATATTACTGAAGCATTTCAACACCAAAAAATTGCTGTTTGTTGCCAATATTAATGGCGACATCGTCTAAAAGGAAAAACGACCAAGGCGGAGGTAAGTACATATTCTGTGCATACACACTGTCAGCAGCAGGCCAGCTAAAATCCCATCCGATTTCCAGTAGTCATTGGTACTAGCTCATCGCAGGACCTCGTCACCGACCAAAACTCGGGTCGTCGCCAGGAGCAAAAAGTCTACACATTCAGTGACCGGCCCTCTCCAAAGCCAGCGGCACAACCGGGAGTCCATGCAAAAGACGGCGAAAAGACTAAGCCGCAAAAGACCATTCTAGAGGAACACGGCATTATTCTGGGCAAAGTTATTGGCACGGGCAACTATGCCAAAGTCAAGATTGGCTTCTCGGAGGAGTACGGTAAGCGGGTTGCCGTCAAAATCATCTCCAAGGTGAAGGCTCCCTCTGAGTACACGCAGAAGTTCCTACCTCGAGAGATCGAAGCGGTAAAGGGTTTACACCATGACAATTTAATAACCTTTTATCAGAGCATTGAGACGAGTCATAGGTTAGACCTTCCTAAATATTCACTGCTAATGTAAATACTGAAATCTCGACTTATGCCGCAGAGTCTACCTGATTATGCAGCTGGCTGAGAATGGAACCCTTCTAGACTACGTACGTGAACGCAAGTTCCTGGATGAGCCACAGTCGCGGACGCTTTTCAAGCAGCTTGTGAGTGCGGTGGAGTACATCCACAGCAAAGGAGTGGTGCACCGAGACATCAAGTGTGAAAACCTGCTGCTGGATGAGAACTGGAATTTGAAGCTAATCGACTTCGGGTTCGCGCGCAAAGATACGCGAACTCCAGATTACCAGGTGATTCTCTCAAAAACCTTCTGTGGCAGCTACGCTTACGCCAGTCCCGAAATTCTAAAAGGTGTGCTTTCAATCTTAAATTGTCTATGCAGTAATATCATAATTAATGCAGGCGTGGCCTACGATCCTTTCATGTCGGATATCTGGGCCTGTGGCGTCGTCTGCTACGCGATGATTTTCGGTCGTCTTCCCTACGATGGCTCTAATGTGCACATCCTCCTAAAGCGCATCAATCAGTCTCTGGTGTTCCCGAAGTCTCCATCAGCCTCCAGCGAGTGCAAGCATATGATTATGCACATTCTTGCGCCAGTAAAAATCCGGTATAATATTCCACAGGTCAAGGACGATCCTTGGTATTTGCTGAAATAAATATTTGGTACTAGTTAATAGTTATGTGCAAAAACATCCCAAAATTGTAAACGTAAAAACAAATAAGCAAAACTAACTAGCAAAACGATTGAGCGTCGCTTGTGACCGGTTGTGTTTATCTTCTGCTCTGTGATTTTTGTCAATTTGTCATTAATATCTGTGATACTGTGATACCTTGCTTTGTGACTTAGTACAACATAACCAGCCGTGCTTGGGTTTTAAATCGCCTGTTTATGTTTAATGGTCTTTTTGATTATAGCAATTTAAACAAACCCTAACTCTGTTCTTAGCTTGTGCATTTTGTTATTTCAACTTGCTTGTCGTGTATATTTTGTTTGTGTTTCGCAAGCCACGCTCAGTCGACAGGCACTCTGTCGCGCTCTCTCGCTCTCGCAGTCTCTACGCGCTCTTATACTTTTGTGTTCTTGTGGGTCTACATTTCTATTGTTTGATCCCTGGTTAGAAATATAAACGACTTTGATGTATGGACTGTATGTAATTTTATTCTGGCCAGTTGCGAAGCCTATTTGATACTGATCTGAATTTCACAAAAAGACGCCGTCTTAGCAGCGTTGCCAGAAAGGAAAAAACGTATATATATATGTATGTCGGTATTCTGTTACATAGGATAGAGATGGCATTATGCGCCTAAATATGAGAGTTTATTAAAGACTGCAACCGTTCAGGAACATCCCGGCCCGCCCTGAAACACAGTTTCTGAACTGGGCAAAACGGCAATCTACGCGATTGGCCTGGTCATCTCTCCTGTTGATGTCTTCAGCTTGACTGCTCGAACGAGGTTGTCCTTTCCTGGATAGGTTTCCATAACCCGTGCGATGTGCCAAGATGCTGGTGGTGTATTGGACTCCTTAACGAGAACTACATCACCGATCGAGAGGTTGGGTGTTGAAGTGGTCCAGTTCGGACGTTGTTGCAGAGTAGTCAGATACTCCTGATGCCATTTCTTCCAGAATCCTTGAAGCATAGCCTGGATGCCTTGCCAATATCCTAATCGGCCTACAGGGATGTGGCTTAAGTCATGATCTGGCACGGTGGTTATCGGTCGCCCAATTAAGAAGTGGGCGGGTGATAAGTAGTTGTCTTCGGTATCAGATGTGTAGCATTAGGGGCGTGAATTTATCACTGCGCTGAATATATACCTTGCGCAAGCAAGGTACGCATTTGTTCGAAGGTGAGCGTTGAGTTGCCGGTGACTCGGCGCAGATGCAGTTTGACACAGCGAACTGCCGACTCCCATTTCCCTCTCCAATGAGGAGCTCTAGGGGGAATGAGTACCCACTGAGTTCCGTCATCTGCCTCAGTGGATGTGACGATGTCCTTATGTCGTTGTGATGCAAGCAAATCTTCCATTTCGTTGAGGGCTCGCTTAGCTCCAATAAAGTTGGTTCCGTTGTCGCTGTAGATCTTGCTACACTTGCCACGTAGGGATATGAAGCGGCGCAAGGCAGCCAAGAAGGTTTCTGTTGTCAGGTCTGTGACAAGTTCCAGGTATATGGCCGAGGTGACCATGCAGACGAACAGGCAAATGTAGCCCTTGCTGATACGTGTCTTCCGAACTTTGGCATCCTTTAGAAGGATTGGACCTGCATAGTCGCAACCAGTATTGACGAATGGAAGGGCTTGAGTAACACGCACGCTGGGTAAATCAGCCATTTGTTGTTGGGCGGTGTGGTGACGTTGACGAAAGCAGCATAAGCAGTCGTGTGTAATTCTGCGAATGAGATTACGTGCTCCAAGTAACCAGAATCTCTGACGAACGATTACGAACAGGGAAGAAACGCCAGGGTGAAGATTGACTCGGTGCTCGTGTTTCAGGATCAGCTTCGAGATTCGGTGCGTTTTTGGTAGCAAAACTGGGTGTTTTGCCTCTCGTGACAACTGCGATTGGTGCAGTCTTTCGCCTACCCTCAGCAAATCGTTTTCGTCTATCATTGGTGTAAGTTTGACCAGCTGCGATCGGTTCCTTAGGGGTTTCTTGGCAAGGAGCAATTGATAGTCCTCGTGGAAACAGTGCTGCGCGTGTTTTATACAAATGATCCTTGCTGCCTTAATCTCTTCAAATGTAAGAGCTTTTGAGGCCCCATCGCAGGTCGGGTTTTGTGTGCGTTGAATGAATCGCTTCACATAGGCGACAATGTGAACGAGCTTGAGCCAAGAAGAAGCTCGTACGATCAGCTCATCGAGTGGATGAACCTGACTTGCAACAGCCACTGTAGCCAAACAGTTGGACTTGACTTCTCCTTGAATGCGTTTGTCTGAAAGAGATAAACCAAAACGTGAATCGTTCAACTTTACCAGGTATTGATCCTTGTCCCGAAGCCATAAAGGTCCATTCCACCACAAATGGAAGTCGATGAGGTCAGCAGCCATCAGACCCCTGGAAGCGCAGTCAGCTGGGTTTGATTTGGAGTCTACGTGCCACCAGGCCTTCCTAGGAAGAGTGTCAAGGATTTCCGAGGTTCTGTTTCCAACAAAAGTTTTTAGTTGGGCTGGTGCATAGAATAACCAGGAGAGCACTATTGATGAGTCGGACCAGGCAAACAAACTTATGTTCTTGTGGCGTAATCCAGAAGAGATCGATCGAATGAGTTGGCTTAGAAGAAATGCTGCGCAAAGCTCCAGGCGTGGCAAGGATTGTTGTTTCAGTGGCGCCACCCTTGTCTTCGCAGCCACAAGGGACACCGAGATGGATCCGTCGTCATTTGTAACTCTGCTGTACACCACAGCAGCATACGCCTTGGTTGAGGCATCCGAAAAGCCGTGAAGTTCGATATTGTCTACGTCGTTGACAACGAAGCATGGCAATCGGAATTTTTGTAGAGTGTCTAGGTCTGCTCTCCACTTCAGCCAGGTGTCCGCTAGTTTGCTTGGGAGTGGGTCATCCCAATCCAAGTTTAAGAGCCAGAGTTTTTGGAAAATAATCTTAAATTGGATAACAATGGGTGCCAAGAGTCCGAGAGGATAAAATATCCTCGAACCGTCGGACAAGACTTGTCTCTTTGTGCAGTCAGGATTTGCCGCTAGACCAATGTTGTACGTTAGAATGTCTCTTCCAGGATCCCAGTATAGACCGAGAACCTTAACTGGCGACGATTGTGCATTGGTATCATCCGTTTGTATGAATGAGGTATTGGATACCCATTTCCCGAGTTCAAGATTTGCGCACGACATCAGCTGAATCAACTCGTCTCGGTTTCGACGTAGCTCATCCTCATGGTTTGACCCGGTAAGAACATCATCGACATAAAAATCCTCCAGTAGGATTTTTGAAGCATTGGGGTATTCGTCTTGATGATCCACGGCGAGTTGTTCCAGCACTCGTACCGCAAGGAATGGTGCACATGACGTTCCGTAGGTTACAGTGCACAATTGGAAATGCTTGATCGGATCGGATGGATCCTCTCTCCAAACGATCTTCTGGTAGTTTCTGTGCTTTTCGTTGGTTCGCGTTGGATACTGGGCCCTGTGAAAAGAGTGTCATTTAAGGCCTAACCATTGGAGTCGCGAAAGGATCCATCGAAGACCACTCGCAGTTTTCGGCCTAGCACTGGGTGGTGTGGAAGAAAGAACTGATTCCCAGTAGCGATTTCCTCTGGAGGCACCTCACGCAGGTGTCCCAGATTGATATACTCCCGCATAAAGTATACGTACTGTGTCCGCAGCTGCTCGTTTTGTTGTAGTCGTCGCTCCACCGATTTGAATCGTTTAAGAGCTCCCTGTAGAGTTTCTCCGAATTCAGGACTTTCCGTGTTGAATGGAAGTTCAACGACATACTTCCGTTTTCATCGCGGCTGTGGGTGGCGAGAAAGTGCTTCTCGACCTGGTCGTCTTCTGGTTCCAATTTCTTGTTGCTTTGAACGTTCTCCAGTTCCCAAAACTTCTGAAGCGTGTTCTCGATATCCATTGCTGTGGTTAGTGCAATAGCGTTGCTTGCGTTCGATCTGATGAGTGAAGGCATTACCCATCCGAATACCGAGGAAATAGCGATAAGATTACCCTTGTTTTCGTACATCTTTCGTCCTGTGAACCCTGACCATACGTGTTCGCTTCCCAATAGTATATCTACTGGTGTGTTTGCGTTGCATGTGTATCCGCCAGCTGCAGATCCTTAAATACCTCGAGTGTCGATGAGTCGATATTTTGGCATTCCAGAGATGAGGTGATTCTGCCTAGCACGTGGGCATAGACAACCAAACGATCATCGGATATGCGAGACTTGATTTGCAGCGTGCTGCATCCCCTTGTCGTGTCTGCTTTTACGGAAGAGATTCCCGTAACCAAAATGCGTGATGCCGACCGTGTCAATCCGAAAGCTTGGATGCAACGCTCAGATACATACGACAGCTCTGATCCTGTGTCCAATAGAAGACGGCATGTTACGTGGTCACCTTTTGCGGTTTTAGCATACACCATAGCAGTTGGTAATATGCTTCGTTTGAATTCCGTTAGATTAGTAGATTTTGCAGTGCCTTGTGCACATACAACCTTTTGGGTGCCCGCTCCTTGGGCCAAATGACTGAGTGTCACTGAGTTTGTGTTAGACGCGCTTAAGTTTTGCTCGTCTCTCTCCGCTATCTGGGCAAGATTCCCACTAGCCTGTGGATTCGGTTGGACGTGAAGAATGGAGTGATGATTTCCTTTGCATTGCCTGCACTTGTATGTTGACTTGCACCTGTTGACCCCATGACCAGGTCGAAAGCAGTTGTAGCATAGTGATTTCTCTTTCACAAATGATCGCCTCTGCAGTCCAGACATATCCAGAAACTGCTGACAGCCATATAGAGTGTGTTCCGTAGAACTGCATTTGGTGCAGCCACTACATTCAACCGCAACCATCGATTGTGTAATTCAGGATGTGTTGTTGTCTTGCTTCCAGTCGCAAGCTCCCTTTTGCTCAGCTCCAGTTCCTCGCAGCGAGAATCGAGAAACTTGAAGAATTCCTCTAGAGTGGGCGAATCTGTCTCCATGCTGCGCTCAATCCACCTGCGCCGTGTGTCAGCGTCAAGTTTCTCTAGGGCTAGATATATGATCCAACAGTCGCGTCCCGTCTGATTCACCGCATCCAAT